TTTTTTTTTTTTTTTTTTTTCCAGATTAAAAAGACCAGCCAAAGCAAACAATTACTTGTTTTAAGGCTGCAGAGAATGGGAGAGTTTGGATTCTTTTTTGACCCTCATGCAGAGGAATGACAGAGCTGCTTGGCTTTTCTTTTTGGGCTAAGCTTTGTCTTGATTCTTCCTAGGGGATGATGCTCAGTTTGAGATGGACATCTGACCGTCCTGCAGGAGCAGCAGGAAAGCAGCAGTGCCGAGGCTGTGTCCACCGGATTGGGCCCATCGGATCAACAGTGAACGGACAGAGGGGCAGCCAGCAATCCCATTGCAGCCCCCAAGAGCTCCTCTTCCTTCCTCTGGGTGCCAAATGATGCGAAGATGAGCTTCATATGACCATTTCCCCTCCCTGTTACCTGTCCCCCTTCCCAGTTACACAGAGTCGATCCAAGATCCTTGGCATATTTCCGTAGACCTAAGCAGCCCACAGAGGAAAGCAGTTAAACTCTGGCTTCCGTAGTCATTTTACAGTTGAGAAAACCTGTCCTCCCGCCCCCTCCCCATTTTTTAAAAATCCCAAATCAAATATCAACCTGCCAATAATTGCCTGGCTGGCAAGTCTGGGGAAGTGACACAGAGGTGTGGTGGGTTCAGCATTGTCCATGTCCTGACCCTCTGTCTGCCCTCCCTGTCTCCTACCTGTGGTTCAGAGCTGCAAGAGTCTGGGTGTCGGGTCTTCACAGCCGTCGGAGGGCAATGGTAACGGAGAGGAGAGCCACTCTCCCTCGTACCCTGAGCTGTTTGTCCTTCGGGCCAGAGCAGTTTGTACAGCTCTGCTAGCGTCACCCTGCGACGTTTTCTGAGGTCAACTTCCCCACCTTCCTCCGGCAGGGGTGTCTTCTGTCTTTGATATTCAAGCGCCGCTTCCCAGTCCTTCACTTAGCACATATGTGCAGAAAGGTGTGAGCCCCACCCGAGGGGGGAGTCCTTGGGAGGCAGCAGGGCTCTCCCCTCCTCCTTCCTCCCTGCTAGCGCCCCGTTGCCCACCATCCCCGTGTATCTGAGCCACCGGGGTGATTCTGCCGCTCCCCGCTCCCGCAACAGGCCCATTCAAGCGACAGGCCCTTGGGGGGAGACCTGGTCACGGCGTTCTGCCGGGTGACCCCGAGAATGACCTGGGGAGCGTGCAGAACCAGGTGGGTACTCAGACTCAGTAGTCCTTGCTTTCTAGTCCACCGAGCTTTGGGATATTCATTGTCTCTGATTGCAGTGTCTTATGGTTTGAGTTTAAAAGGTGACTTTCAGAATGCTCTTAGAAAAGAACCAAACTTTTTTCCTTTGTAGACCTGCTGAGGCTCCTGGGATAGATAAGCATGGGCTCGAAAGTGGGTTCTCCCCATTGTCTTGCCTTCCCCATCGTACTCGTCCCTCCCCCTCCCTCCCTCGGTCCCTCCCTCTCTCCCACCCTCCCACCTGTCTCTCTGCCAGGCCATTTTTCAAATACACATCAAAGATACCTCAAGGGTTGGTATCTGATAATATCTCACTCCTCTTATCTGAGGAGTGATCTTTTATTTTTAAGATGACTACAGACCTATTTTTAGATATGTTTTCAATACAATTTTGAACAGCAACTTTTTAATTACACATCTTCCGGTGTTAGGAAGGTGAGAAATGTCCGTGGGCGAGTCTGCTGTTCCCTGTCACCATCCTTTGTCTCCCCAAGTCCCTGACGAGCTCTTTGCTTCTCCCTCTAGTTTTGGGTGTGCATGTTTGCAGTTTGTAGTGGGTGGTGTGTCAAACTGGACCATTCTGCCTTGCCGTGGCTTGTTTACGAGCGCCTCGTTCTTTCCCTCCCCGTTTGCTTTTTCATGCGCCCCCCTCACCCTCCCGACTATTGACTGGCACAATAATCCCGGGAGGGTGACCCCCTCGTAGAAAGACTAACACCTCTGTCCTCATAGAACGACAAGTAAAGTAGCCGCTGGTGTCCTGGGAATTTCTGGTCGCATTTGGTGCCCTGAACCCTCTCATTAAGAGACCACATCCCAGGGTGAGAGTAACAGGCCAACTGGCTAAGAAAGAAAGCTGTTTGTTTTTCTTTTGAACTATGAAAAGACCCTGTTTATGAACACATTTTAGACAGAAGAGAGGAAGGCTGTCCGAGGAACTTTGTTCTGTTTTCTGCTACAAAATGTGAATAGTTCAAAGAGTGAACCTTCTGTGACGGTTGATGTTTCTCAGGAATAAGCTGGATCTCCAAAATTTGGGGGATGCTTTCAGTCTCAAAAATTGATGATCAAAAAAATATTTTCTTGTTTGTTTGTGTAATGTATCTCTGTTCTCATTTTAATTAAACTCCCAAATTTCGCTTCCCATACTCTTGGAAAAAGTTCAGTTGCACCGTCATTTGCATGAGAAGCTTGCTCAGGACCCCTTTGTCCCCTGGGAGCTTGATTCTTTGGGCATGAAACTTCTCGTTCTTCATAGCTGGCTTTGGCATTCGTGGAACCTGGTTCCAACTCCAGGTAGTTGGGCAGTGAGCAGAAGAGCGCCCCTTCTTGATCTTTGTTGCTGCGCTTGAAAATCTGGCCTCCTCACTGAGCAGCGGGGAATGGATTTAGAACATGCCAGCTTGAATGATGTCAAGGCGCCATTTTCCCCTTTTCTACCATCTTGGGAAATCTCTGCACACGGTTCCCTAATCGTAGGCCATTTTTCTCGTTTTTGCAGGGAGGGTCAGCCGCATGATACAGCAGCGGCCTGCTCCTTCAGCCTTCCCTGCAAGGCCCTCCTTACTGGTTGCTGTCCTTCTTTCCTGGAGGCCACTGCTGTGAGAGATACTTTGACCTCCATGAACCTGGATTTTAGAGATCGTTTCACAAGGCAATGGATTAACTTGCAACAGATGACACCTCTGTGCCGTGCCTCACGAATGATTTTTTCAGGGCGAGCCAGATCCCAGAAGAATGAATAATCTCTCCTGGCTTTCTTTTGGGGAGGGAGAACCCTTAGGGGACCATCTGAGTGAGATGGTTCTTAAAATCAGTGATCATTTGCTCTTTTTATGAGGAAACCATGTTTCTGAACCTCTGAGGACAGTCCATCTTAGTGAGAAATGACCTTGTCCTTCCAAATTCCAGCAGGAGACACGCGTTGTCTTGGTCTGTCTGTACAGTATGGTTTGCTGAGACCACCACGTCTTCGTGTTCTGTTGAAATAGCTGAACGTCCTCAGGAGCACCCTGTCAAGCAGCTGGCTTCTCGGTATTGGGCTGTCAAGCCCGGAATTCTGTCGTCCCACCTGTATTAAGTTATCTTTTGCTGTGTGACCCATGACCCCCAAACTAAATCTTGAAAGAGCAAATGTTTTCTGGCAGCTTCCGGAGGTTAGGCATCGGGAAGCAGCTTAGCGTGATGGGTCCGGCACAGGGTCACCGGAAGTTGCCATCAGGGTGTCGGCAGGGTCTGCAGTCGTCTAGCTAGGGCTGGAGGATCCACGTCTGCGCGCACTCTCTGGGACTTGTTGGTGCATTCTCTGCGTACGGGTCTCTGTAGAGCAGCGCGAGCGTCCTCACACCAGCACAGCTGGCTCCCCCCTGAGCAGGTGACCCCAGGCAGAGGGCAAGAAGGAGTCTGCAGTGCCTTCCATGACAGCCTCTGAAAGCACACACCATCACCTCTTCCCTATTGTGTCTCTCAGAAGCCAGCTCCTAAGGCCGGCCGACACACACCTGTGAGTGGAGCAGTGTCAAGGAATGTGAGGGTCTATCTTAGAATCACCTCACCCCCAACAGAGGATAGAGGCAGTCCAACGGGGTAGGTAAAACTAGATGACACAGAGATGTTGCTACTGCATCTCCAAACTGAATAGAAGACAGACACTCTTCTCTTTCCCCAAAGTCAGCTGCTGGTTTGGAGAGTGGTGGCAAGAACTGACGATTCCCAAAAGAATAAAAAGAGCTCTACATTTGCCTGGCTACCAGCAGTGCAAGGATGCCTCGGGGCGAGTCCTAGGCTTTGTGTCTCCCTGAGACTCAGCACCACGTCTTTGCATCTCCCTGAGCCTGCATCTCCCTGAGCCGGGAACTGAAAGGGAATTGGATCCTTCTAACTGAGCCACTAAAGCGGACTTACTTGGAGTCAGGGTTGTTGAGGCAAAGGAAGAAATGTGAATGGGGTGTTGGGTTACCGGGCTGAGTAAAAGCTTCACGGTTCAGATTCAGGGTGAAGTCGATGATCGCATCTGGAAGCCCGGCCCCTGTCAGAGTCGGTATTGGTACCTAGTCTCTGCAGCCCTACCAGCTGAAACAGGTTTGGGTCGGGTCTCTCACCCACGAAGCCGCTTCTCAATTCAGTAGGGAACATCTGGGAATTAGAAATGTCTGTCGGTGCTTGATTGCGCCTCTAAATTCAGTGTGTATCTTAACTGGGTGCCCACCTCAGCCCGAGCTTCCTGATGGAGATGTGTTCTTAAAGAGAACCGGTCCTGGCTTCACCCTTGAGAGAAACTTAGATGAGCCTGGTCAGTCGAACACAGTCCTAGGGAACATCTGCTGGGCGCCTGGCACCCACGCCCAGCCACGTTTTAGAGGCTTGAGACATCTTCAAGATACAAGTTCCTGTCCGGCTTTACGCTCTGCCTGTTCTCTGTGGCCCTGCTCGGTGGAGCGTGCACTTGACTTAAGAAGCGTGGCTGCTGAGGCACCCATAAGAACAAGGGCACTTCCTCCACGAGTAAGGACTCCTCTTCACAGCACTTTCCCATGACTTGTCTTTTTCCTTCTGCTTTTGAGGCAGAGTCACAATAGATGGTCTTTTCGTTTTGTGTTTGGGCCCCCAGCTCTTTGGGACCGTCTGACCTCTTGGGTTCGGACAGCCCCAGAGCCCGCTGTTCAGCCGGCCCACGCTGCGCACCTGCGTGCAGTCAAGGCAGCTGGTATGAGGGCCTCATTGTGCCGCAGCAGGATCCCAGAAACAGACTCTTTACTCTTTCTCCCCTTCTTGGGTATTCGATGGCGTGTCAAGCATCTTGGCTGCTTGAAGCCAGGGCCCCGGGCCCTTTGAGTTCTCCTGCAGAGAGGCGGTCCACCGCCTCGCCATCTGGGCCAGAACTTGCCGGTCGAGGCATGTTCCTGGACAACGGGCGTATAGCAGCTGTGTATTAATCTGCGAAACCCAATCACTTATCCACCCAGGACATCTGGGACCGGGTAATCATTTTAAGGAAGCATGGTTTCTTTGGGAGGGCAGTTTCTGTCTGGACTTCGAAAGGGGTGTGGTTACCGTGTCCTAACCTCTCAGCTTTTAATAAAGGATGAAATCAGATCTTGAGGCAACTGGGTCACAGTTCTTTTGAATGCTTATTCCCCAGGGGCATTTCCTGTTCTAGTAAGGATTTTCCAGTTTAGCACTGAGGTTTCCTTGAGGCTAGCTCAGGAATTTCTTACAAAAGACTAAGGAGATGGATACAAACTTATTTTTTCAAGCAATCATTCATGTCTCCTTTCCCACCCTCTGGAATTTAAATTTCATTCTCTGGGCTGGTCCGAGAAGTGAATACCTTGCGGCAAAACTAGATTTAAGAGGTCTCGTGAGTTCCTATTCAGATGGTCTGTGGTTTCTCTTTGCTTAACCTCTGCCTGCAGCCTGGGCTGACCACACAGAATGGATGGCCAGGGGGAAATACTGCTG